TTCAGCAAAAGTGTCGAAGATTTTGGGGCTACTTTTTGACCCAAAGGTTAAGCGGGAGAAAAAGTAATAGTTATCTGTCCATTTGATGCCATGTAAGTGCCATAGTGTGGGATGGATAGGTAGTAGTTTAAAGGCATTGGTAATGTCTGTCTTACTTAGCCATGCTCCAATCCCTGCTTGCATAATGGCTGTTATAGCATGGTCTATAGTGGCATATTGTAGGGAAAACTCTTCTGAGGGAATAAGAGAGTTCAGACTCGGTGTAGATGAGGTATGAGGGGCCGACAGATCTATGATGAGCCTTTGCTTGAGGGAAGTTTTCCCTGTGACTATCCCTATGGGATTTGTGCGCCATGCCGTAAAAGGTGGGGTTTTGAAAGACCCGAACAAGAACCCCTCTGCCAGCTCTTGGGCTAAGAGTGTGTCTATGGCTGCTGGGTTTTGTTGTGCTGATTGTTAGGACATTCGAGTTGGCCTGTGGGCATATGTATAATGCCTGTATGAAACCCCTCTGAGAATCCAGAAATGAGAAAATGTACCATATGTCTGGAAGGGTGATTGGTTAGTAGTGCTGAGAAGACATGAATGTTAACAGACGTTAGGTACGGTTTAGGGTACATTTTATTTGGACACATGGTATGCGCATGTGCCCTGAAACAATGTGAACAAATATCCAATAACCTGCATGCACTAAAGCTACATGTGCCCACATTGAAATTATTGCAAACTTGTGATTTACCAAAGAAAATGATAGGACGACCCAGTTTGTCTCTGGTGGTTCTCTCAGTTCTACCCGCGTAGCTTGTGCTAGGTGACTGATTACGGTCGTCTGCCGTGTGAGAACAAAAATTGGTAGTGTGAGTGGTAGAAGAGCAGGATGCACAAGCCGGTGTTTTGAGACCTGCGAAGTGTCTACAAAACAGCTCTGTATCTAGTCTGCTCCAGTTGATACGGGTACCATACTGAGAGAGAGCTACAGACACTTTAGTGGAAAAAGACCTATGGTAGTCATAAAAAGCAGATCCACCATATTTTTTCCCCAGGTCCACTAGCTTGTGCATATAGCGATCAAATTCTTCTCTTCTATTAGGGTACACTTCACAAATTACATCTCTAATAATACCAAAGGCTAACACAAATTCTGGAATGGTCAGTTTACGGTTTAACCTTGCGTTTTTTGATCTGACCACTACAGAAACTTCATTGTACATATAGGTTTTGTTCTCCACCACATCCTGGGAGGCAATTAGTAGGGATGCCAGGTTGATGTCTTGGCCTTCCAGGATGTCCCTCTTAATGTGGGCTGGGATAGTGTATGCAGGGTCAACGTCCTGATAATCTGAGGAAATAACCATACCCGTGGCCCGTGGTTCGGTTGGTGCCTGTTGAGCAGTATCAGGAAGACCAGCCTTGGTGAGGGCTGTGGTGAGTGCCTCGAGATTAGCCAGTCTGTCATTGACCTTGCCCATAGATGTCATGAGTGAGGCCAGCATAGCCTGGATATCACCTAAATTGGTGTTGCTGGGGCCTTCCCCTGCTTCCGTGTTGTTGATTGTAGTGTTAAGGAGTTTAAATAGCTCCGCTTTCCTTGCTGTGGCAGGGTAAGGGATTTGTCGCCTCCTTAACTCCGTGGTGATACGTGGGATTGTCCAGGATCTGATTGATGCTGGACTGGCAATGTCTCCTCTACGAGAGGGTGTCTCGACCCTAGTTGGGGTGGCATGAAGAGATAGCTCTTCATCACCTTCAAGAGACATACTTAAATAAAAGGAAAGATAGATTTATTATTTGAACTTATTAGTTTAGTACTGGCTACTAGCTATGCCGTGAGGCAAAACCATTATGCTTATTGTTTATTGGTGACAGGTGAGGCCCTGCTAGTTGCCAAGTGGCTTGAGAGGCTCTATCTATGGTTGGCGCGAGGGGATTGTTGTGGCCACCGAACGTTGTGGCAGGATGTCGGCCTCTCAGTGACTGTAACCAGAAAATAGGAAAGGGAGTGACAGGCGAGGCCCTCTCAATGAAACGTGCGAGGCGGCTAGCTCACGTGTGGCCCGAGGGGTGTTTGCTTCCGAGTTTGAAGCGGGGTGTTGGCCTCGCGGGACCACTAATCCTAAGCATAATTGCAGAAAAAGGGGGAATTAACTATTGGCCCCTATGACCCTAATTGCCAGTACTTGTCTGTCTTGTGGGGGATTTTGAATAGGTCTACTGTAAGCAGGTGTATGTACCTGGTAGCATAGGTTATTGAACCTGGTAATCCATATAGGTAATAGTAGTACCTGTAACTAAATAGATGAACTGTATGAAAAATATATACAAGTGACACAATTATATTATCTTTAATTATGTTCGTATTGACCTGTATAGTTCAGGAGATGGTGTTTGTAAGATCTCCTTAATTCTGTATGTTGCCTTGTAGTTGGTAGGCAAATGAAGTAGTAAAGGAAAATGTAGAAATGTATATAAACCCCTTAGGGAAAAGTATGATATATCTGTGATATTATGTATGGTGTACAGGAAAGTAATGTGATATTACAGTAATTGCAATATCCTTGCTGACCTGAAGGTGGCAGTGTGGAATCTTTAAACATGTGAATACCCATATGTGTAACTGGGACCTATTTGTAACCCATTCGTGAGTGTAGTTCTCAACATGTAACATTTAAGCAATAATTCTTTATTCCCAACAATTGTCTGTGCCCGTGTGTTTAACCGTACGAACTGGACAACATAAGACTAGCAAGGTTTGACTTGCTATGGCCGAATGGCTGCCCAGTCGGCAGTGCTATTATATATGTGAATATTGTTCGTGCGATGTGAAAGTCCTGAACAGTAAGTGACAGGAGAATCAGTAGCATTACTTGTATAGCGTGTTCGTGCGTTTTGACCGCAAGAACGTAGACATGTATGCGAAAATGTTTAAGCGATTAATTAAATGGGAGAATATGCAGCACAACATATTAAGTACATAAACGTCTAATGAAAATGCTGTGTAAACGAACAGCTGAACACGGATGGATATAGTATACAGATTTTAAGTGCAGAAATAGCCGAACGCGTACAGTAAGTGAGGACCTGAACCGTATTTGATGCTGTGGGCCTTGTTGCCTGGCATAACGGTTAGGTCTACTTACTGTTTGATAGTCACTAGGACGCGATCCGCGGTGATAGTAGGCAAGAAGTTGATCCAAAGGAAATCTGCAGAAGGATTCCTGGACACAGTTCAGCGATGGAAAACCTTGTGGGACACAGAAGTATTCCAAAATGGCGACTGGATGAACTGGAAGTGCATTCAGACGCTGACCTTGAACGGTGTGGAGTCAGGTAAGGGTTGGACCTTGTATAGGGGAGTGACTTAATGCCAGCCCCTTCCACAAATACAGGCCAAACGGCCTTGACACATACAATTTTTTTTATTTATTTAAATTTTTGAGGGTGGTTTCGATTTCTGTTTGTTTAAATAAATTATTTAGTAGAAATAGGTTGCAAGGTGTTTGTGATGCACACAACAGCAAGTAAATATAAAATTACAACGTACAACATGGAAGTACCAGCGCTAATCTGTAAATGGTATACAAAAACACAATTTGTGCAAACGTTATACAAACAGCTGCTATATCACCATAATCTTATCTTATATCATAGAAATATAAACCAATGTGATGGTGACGTGCTATATTAGTGAAATAATTCACGGTGCAGTAGGAAAATAGGTATATATATATATATATATATATACACACCTTACATTTTTGTCCTATATTGAGATCCTAATGGTTAATATGTTGTTCCTTAAAAACAAACACAAAAACGATATCATAGTGTAAACTGTATAATAATATATTGAAAAAAGGGAAGAGTCAATTCACCACTCACGATTTTTGGAGCTAGACGATTTAGCTCAATTAGTGTGCTCTTAGCGTCCGTGGAGTCGACCCTCTCCCTTCTTTAGATGATTTTCTTATCTTTCTTGTCCCATATAGTATAGTAAGGTTGCTGATCTCCGGTAGATATTCCGCCTTGAACGTAACGTTGCGGGAAGGCCAAACAGTAAATGTCCCTTGTTGTCTCTGATCAATTTTCGCACCGGGGCCCCATGGGTCATGTGTACGCCACTGATTGATTTGGTATTCCAATGAAATTTGTAATATCCATTCCCTCTTACTCTTTCTTGTGATTGGGTTTTTAACCCGTTTACACATATAGTGCCTATGTGCTCATTTCAGCGACAATGACATATGTGAAGTCTATAAATACATAATGCAAACTCTTTGATGTGCAATCCCTCTGATTTACTGTAGTAATCAAACAAATTATTAAAAAGAAACAATATATAAAGAGCCAGTTCGTGTGAATCACGAACTGGTGAAAACAAGATGGCCACCGAGGATGTCGCGGTAATGCCACGCGGTCCATGATCAGGCGGCCGCCCCCTTGCACCACCAACACCCCAGCATCCTTGGGAACAGCCCCAGAACCCGACTAAAAGACCGCGATTCGCAAAAGAGACAGACAGGGGAAACAGCAAATATACAAGTAAAAAAAAACACTTGCAAAGTGACAGTATTATAAATAACAAGGGGAGAAAGGGGTGGGAGAAACCACAATTATGGAAAATAAGCACTTGCAAAGTGACAGTATTATAAATAACAAGGGGAGAAAGGGGTGGGAGAACCGCAATAATAAAACAAAAATAAGCACTTTTAAAGTGACGGATTAATAGTAATAAGGGGAGAAAGAACCACCATTATAGAAAATAAGCACTAGTAAAGTGACAGAGAATAAGTAATAAGGGGAGAAAATAAGCACTTGTAAAGTTACAGAGTATAAGTAATAAGGGGTAAACAGGGGATAAAACCAAGTATCCAGTATATGAAACAGCAATCCACATCAATAGCTTAAACAATAAAAAAACTGTTGGAGCAAATTGAAGATTATGCTAGCTTTAGTGTACTAATAATCTTAATTTTAATAAGGACAGGAGGCGAGTATTTTGCATTAACTCTCTTTACTAAACTCCACAGCAGTAAAGAAAAACGTAAAGAGTAACAAGTAAATCACTGAGCAGCATAGTATATAAGGGTCATGCTGCCTGTACACTTCCTCTTTCTTGAAGCGACATCCAAGTCCAGATTGAGCTCGAACGTCCAGAAACTCAACGAAAAACTGCAACTGCGGTCTCTGGCGAGGGGAACTTGAGGAGACTTCTGGTAAACAAGGTTGGAGATAAGACCAAACAAAGCCTTCCACCCATCCTACGGAGTCGTGAGGTTAACAAACCAGCGACCAGTGGAGGTCCTGAAGAGGGTTACACTGAAAGGAGAGTATAAAATAGGTTAGGTAATGAACCGTAACTGTTCACGCCTGTGGGCCTTAACAGAATGGTGTAAATTAAATCATTACAAACAGAGTGTAAACTGGCCAGTGGCTAAATGTGTGTAGGTGTAAGCATGTTGTACAACTAAAATATGTCCGCCTAGGTGGAAATACTAGGGTGAGAGATGGAAGAGATTTCGAATATGTCCCGATGATAGAGAGACTACTAAAATCAAACCCAATATCCGTCACCTTGAGATCCACTCCCCCGAGGAGTCAGGGTAGGGAACAGAAGGGAGGGAAAATACTCGCCTCCTGTCCTTATTAAAATTAAGATTATTAGTACACTAAAGCTAGCATAATCTTCAATTTTATAACATGACAGGAGGCTTCCTATTTTGCAATTTTAATGCTGAAGAAGAGATGTCCCCGCAGAAGGGGGAGTGCGAAAATAAAAGGTACGGAAAGTAGATTCCCTAGACCAGTCCACCGTTCGGAGAATATCCGAAAGGGACGCCCCTGCCAGGAAGGCTGATGAAGCCGCCGCTCCACAAACGGAGTGGGCGCTGAACGCGGGGTCTATACCTGCGAGGGAAAGGATCCAGCGGATCCATCGGGCCAGCGTGGTGACCGAGACTGGGGCGTGAGGGCGCACGTAGGAGACTAGGAGTTGACCCGACGTAGAGGAACGGAGTGAGGAGGTAACCGAAACATACCTGCGGAGGGTGGACACAACACAGAGCTGCGGGTCGTTGGGAAAAAAGGGGTAAAAGACCGAAGTCGAACCCGACTTAGTGGGACAATAAATGTGGAATGTGACCCCTTCAGGGGCCACCTCGAAGCCGTCAACATCGAAGGCCCGAACGTCCGAAACCCGTCGGAAAGACACTAGACAAAAGGAGAAAAGCGCACTTAGCGGATAGTTGGCATAGGGAGAGCCGGTCATTCGGAAGCCAATCCCTGAAAAAATGGAGAACCAGTCCCACATCCCATAGGTGAGGGTATCTGGGGGTCGGGGGGTGGCGGAGCCGCATACCGCGGAGTAGGTCGGCAGACCAGAGGGTCTTTGCCGACCGGGAGATCCCCGACGGGGGTATGGGCCGCCGAAATCGCGGAGCGAACGACGTTGACAGAACGGTAAGAGCGGCCAGATGAGAACAATGAGGAAAGAAAATTAAGAATCATGGGGATAGGTGCTGTAAATGGATCGGAGTGCCGTTCCATGCACCAAGTAGACCAGGAGGCCCAAGCTGAAAGGTAACAGCGCCTAGTTCCCGGGGCCCATGAGTCCCATAAGAGGTCCCTAGCAGCCTGCGATAGTCCGCTGACTTGCCAGGAACCCCGGAAAGAGACCAAGCCACCAGGGGTAGCCGGTCTTCTAGGAGGAGCGGGTGGAGATACCCTTTGGGATCCGTGAGCAGGTCCGGGAAGGATGGTAGGAGGAGAGGATCCATGTAGGAGGAGGCCAGGAGGACCGGGAACCATGGTTGGCTCTGCCACAAGGGTGTTATGATAACCAGTTTGATCTGTTGCGTCCGCATCTGGTGTAGTGTTCTCGCAATCATGGAGAATGGGGGAAAGGCGTAGGCCCCTGTTGTCGACCATTGTTGGAGAAATGCGTCTGTCACCTTGCTCTCCGGGTCCGGGAGCCAGCTGAAGAACTCCGGGGTCTGGTGATTGTTGCGAGAGGCGAACAGATCCAGGTGAAAGGGACCCCTCCGGGCTGCCAGGGCCCTGAAGATTCTCGTGTTTAGCTTCCAGTCGCTGACGTCTCTCCAGTGGCGAGAGAACCAGTCGGCTGTGAGGTTGATTTCTCCCGGTAAGTAGTCCGCCTGCAGCATGATGTTGCGAGGGAGGCAATAGTCGAAGATGTCCCTCGTGATATCTGACAGCAGGCGTGAGCGCGCGCCTCCCAGGCGTTTGATGTACTGGACTGCGGAGACATTGTCCATGCATAGGAGGATGCAGCAGAAGGATCCCGCCAGGAGTTCGAGGCAATTGATGTGCATGGAAAGCTCCTGCGCCGTCCATGTTTCTCCCGTGGAGATGGTTCCGTTGGTGG